GAATTGAAAGGCGAACTAGAGGCGAAGCCATGAGGGAAATAGACGAAGTTGTGAGGGAAGGAGACGAAGCCGGGACATGATTTTATTGCATCTACTTTCTTATTTTCCACTATTTTCATATATCATTTAGATGTTTTTATTGTAAGATACAAAATTGCTATTATTTTCCTGCTAAAACCCTTAATTTTTCATTTACGCAATTCTGTGTCCGTGAGGCTTACGCCTCAGACCGCCTCGAGGCTTACGCCTCGCCTCACGGACGAAAACCGCCTCGAGGCTTAATTGCGCAATTTTAAACCTTGAAAAATAGCTTAGAATTTGATATCTGTTACAGCTACTTTTCTTTTTAAACCTAATATCAACTATAGCAAAACCAAAAAACAAGAAGTTTATATGAGGTAAATATATTCAATTTTTATGCTCAACTCCTGCAACCAAAATAAAGAAAAAGGAAATAATTCCCAAAAAGAGAGAAGAACAAGTAAAAGAATAAAAAAGATCAGATGCTAGTGGAATCCATTAAATAAGACAGCCATTCCAAAAATTCTGAATCAACTTTCTATAAATTGTCGTGGATAAATGCATCAAAGGGACCCCTAAGACGACGGGCTCAGATGATAGTCAAATTCATGTAAGAAGACAAGTGCAGCAACTTTCTACAAATAGCCGTGGATGAATCCCCAAGGTGATGGCAGCTGTGGTTGCCTGAGATGCTCCAGACCATCCAAACAATGCCACATCATTACCATAGGAAACACATTCCAATATTCCATGGCAACCACATGCTACCGTTGAGCATGCTTATTATAAATTAAAATAATTAATATGAGTTGTTGGATCGTTGAGCAAAGGTGATTAATAGCATTGCTTGACAAGCCGATTCTTTATAACCAGAATCGGTTTGATGATTGCCAGTCAAGCTGACGGTTTAAGCTAGTTCTATCTTACTCGATGTGAAACCGGTTATTGAAGTAACCCATAACAGCTATTTGACCGGTTCACAGTTGAAATAATTGTACCGGTCAATCCGGTCTAGTTTTAAAACAGTGACATCAATAGTATTCTATCAAGGAAAAATAAAGTATCAAAGAAAATAGTGTGCGAAGAAATCCCTGGCAGCAATTTTTATATAATATAACTAAATATGTGGTATTGTAAATTAAGGGCTATTTTTTGTTAGAGAATCTCGGCCGTTCATTTTCAAAGAATTATATAAGATAATAATTAACAATTTAATATCACTAATAAGGAAGGCCTACAAGAGAAATATCACTAATAAGGAAGGCCTACAAGAGAAATATCCCTAATTTGCAAGTTTGATTACATGCCAGTCCATTTCTCTTAACGTGAACAAAGTTCAAAGAGGCACCATTTTCTTCTCTATAATTCCATGTTGTGTCCTGTTTCCAATCGGATAAAATTCCTGGCTCTATGAAACTTTTGTTGTAAATGATCTTTGTTAGTGATTTTTTTGTCTGTAGGTCAATTAGACCAAGTTCAAAGTTTTCAATAGGATGTGAAGTTTTGTGCCTTCATTTCATCCTCAAGTTTATTATTTTATTGGATCATAATAAATGAAAATTTTGAAGTAATTTAGTGAACATTTAGCCTAAATGGTCCTCCAAAATGAAAGTGCATGAATATAACATTTGCTCAATTGCGGTTGCAAAACACTTCAAATTATTCCGGCTGTACTAATAAAGAATTTCAACATAATTTCTCTTTATTCATATATGTTGTCTAGAATGAAGAATTTATATGTAAGGTTGCATCGACTTTTTTGGTCGAATGTTTCAAGAAGAACAAGAGGTTTTGAAGCGCTGGATTTGAAATACATTAGAAGCACAATTTCTAGAAATTTTCATAATGATAAAAGTTAGAATTTAAGCTCGTGCTTCATTCTGGCTTTGTCTGCAAGTGCAAGTTTATTTGGTTCAAGCTCAAGGGAAGCTTTATGCCTGCCAAATGGTTTTTCTACCTATGCGTGTCAATATTTGATCTGATCCAAAAAATTCTGAGTTTGAGTCAACCCGTTTGGCATACGGGTTGAGTTCGGGTTCGGATTTTTTACCCGTTTTTAAAACTAGGTCAGGTTTGGGTTGACCTAAAAATCCAAAATTGACCTGAATGACCCAGATCCCCGCATCACTCGATCGATCCCACATCCCACACCGTGCACGGCGCACTCACGCCTGCCTCGCCGCACTTGAGGCTTGACTCCGCGTCACGCAATACCTCGCGGCCCTCCCTCAGGCGTGCTACCAACACTGCGCTCGCGACTCGACACTGCCTTTGGCCTCCCACACTTGTGCCCTGTCTCACCCGCGTTCGCATCCCGTGCTTGATCCCATGCAGGCCCACTCCTGCAACCTGCTGAACTCACTCGCGCCCACTGTGTTCCGGGTTCGTGGGTCAGGTTGGCACAACCCGATAACCCCACGGGCCAGGATTGGGTCAACCTGTTTGGACCTGGGTCAATTCCAGGTTCGATTCGAACCTGACCTGAAAACCCATTTTGACACCAATATTTCTACCCACTAATTTTATTTGAAAAATCAATGATTAAGCTTAAGGTTCCCACCACCAGCCTTCATTGTTGGAAGTATGTGGAATATAGGTCCCCACTAAAGCTCGCCTTCATTGCTGAAATTATAAGCAATATTGGTCTTGCTTCCTTCGTGTGTTCAAGACCGAGGAGAAATTGAACGGGGGGAGATTTGTTTGCCAAGTGTTGAGCAGCTTGAGGCGTATTTTTCTGTTATCGTCCTTGAAGCTTGCTGCAACCATAAAATATATTTTTACCTACTGTCTTGCCTTCATTTCCAGCCTTCCCTTGTGGTTGTTTAACTATCTATAACCAATGTCGCCTTCATTGCTGCCATGCTTAATATAGTCTTCATTGCTACCCTTTGCCACCGCAATGTCTGAAGTTAATTTCTCTCAAAATTTTGACTAAATGGAGGACTCTATAGTAAGAGACTTGATAACTCTACTTTTTAGGGACTAATTACCAAGCTGGAAATGACAAATCAGTATTACCCAGCTTGAGGGAGAGTATTAAATCTCAATCGTCCCTTGGCCCTTGATCCCACGGCCAACATGGGAATTTGTGGGAGGCTCACCAAGATCACATTGTTAAATCTCAGTCGTCACTTGGTCCTTGATCCCACGACCAACATGGGGATTCGTGGGAGGCTCACACTGTTAAATCTCAGTCGTCACTTGGTCCTTGATCCCACGGCCAACATGGGGATCTATGGGAGGCTCACCTGGATCATGTTGATCTTCTATATTTAGTTGGCTGATTTAGGAAGGATTACATTATGACAATTATGTATGATTCTATAGTAATTTGTTTATTTATTAAAACATCTTGTATAGATCTATAAATAAGGATAGTTTTGCATAATAAATTAAGCCTTTTCCTTTCCAATTCTCTAAATAACAGCTAACTTCTCTATTTGACCCATAAAGTTCTTTTAACTCTGCTTAAATATTATCTCATTGTTTATCTCACATGACTTACCCATGCTTAACAAGTTTAGGGCAAAGAAAACCTAAACCAAATAGTAGGGTTTTTTTATTTAAGGTGGGGATCCATCATTCTTTGAATAAGCAATCAAATGAATCACTGATTACTTCATTGTTTTATTCAACATTATCATTTACTAAAAATATTTGCCCAAAATAGTACTTAATTAGGGTTGTAAGTGAGTCAAGTCGGCTTGTGTTCGGTTTGATAAATAGACTGTGAGTTGAGATCGATGAACTAAAGAGCCATGCTTGAGCCAACCCTGATTCAATTTGTGAGCTTGCGATCTGAATAATTAAAAAATATTAATATAAAATGCACTCAAAAATATATATTAGCATTTAGGATTTTAAGTATAAAATTGTTAAAAATGTTTAAAAATTACATCTCACATTCTTATACTAATTTATTCTTTGTTATTTTTCTTCTAATTTATTATTCTTTTTATCATTTTATTATAATAATTACTTGAATTATAATTATTTTGTCTTTCATAATAAATGAGCTAGCTCGAACTCATAGAATAAAGCTTAAGCTTGAGCTCAAACTCAATTAATTAATCAAGGTCAAGCAAATGGTGAGTTTAGCTCAGCTCGACTCATTTATAACCCTATACTTAATAGTATTTAAACATATAGGTGTACTGTAATTGCACATTTAACTTTTAAGCTTTTCATATCATCAACTTTCAATAAAGGCTTTATCTGTAGCTTTAACAATTCATCACTAATTAGAATCTACCTAAAACTATTCCATATACGATAGTTTTTTAACTTGCTAATTTGCTCATATGGGGATTATTTCTAAAAAATTAAAAGGCATCGCAACATCAAATAACATAAGTCTAAGAGAAAAACCAACAATGCAAAATTCAATCCTCATCAAATTTAAGATTACAAAGAGGGGAAAAAATACTACAAAGAGAAGGTTGTCCTTATCCGCCGTTTAATTAGGGGGAAGGGAATATCATTCGTAGAACTTTATCTTAAAAGCAGTGTACAGATTGCCCAATTGGCTGATTGTTCTTCATATCGATGCACAAAAATCTAATTATGGCCATAAAAATCTAGCTTCAAAAGCCACAATTCTTTTTCTATTAAATTGTTGCTATTTTAGTATAACTAGGTGTGATAAGCCTATAGACTTTCGGTTTACGTATCTATAGAAGAACCTGGCGAGAGAATTCAATGAGATCATCATACGATTCTCAACAACTAAATACATTTTCTATCTTTTAATTATACCATGATTAACTTATTTATAATATAGATAGTTAATTAAAAAAAAGTATGCCGGTTTTCTATAAAGTTAGAGATTATAAATATTTTAATATATACCCAAAGAGGTATTTGTGTTCATGTTGTCTAGCTTATAACGATAAAGAAACATCGTGTGTGTGTGTGTATATATATATAGATATATATATATGAGTGTGTATGCATAAAAACAAAATGGCTGAATATCTTACCCCAAAAAAATGTCAGTAACAAGTATAATAAGAAATGCCTTCCCTGAGTCTGATATATTATTTAGCAGCTTATACCCTGTAAACTTCAGCAAAGCAACCTGAAGATACAAAAAAGTGCATATAAATATATTTTGAATCAACCCAATCTCGAACTGCAGCAAATAAGAGATAACAGTTATAAGAGCTAACTATGCCCATGGTAATTTACTGATAAAAAGTGAACTAGAATAATGAGAAATTTCACTTCATGATCTATAGTTTTGCCTATTCTTTGAAACTTTGCATAAGATAAGAATATATATTAAGATATGATCGAGTACTTTCAGTAAATTCAATCATAAGGTGTCGTCATCTATAGCGAGCTGAAGCAAATTGCAATCGCCGAGAAAGATATAGCAATTCCTTCACATAATTAGTCAAAAAATTTTGGTGATTCAGCAAACAACAACTCAATCTCAGTATCCTAGTCTATTGGAGAAGCAATCATCCACTTATTACCAATGATAATAAGTGAATGCATTTATCAGTTAATAAGTATTCAAATATACTTCCACACAAAAACTCAAATAATATTTACATTTATACCCTATTGAGGAAAAGGACGTGTGCAACTTGTAGGTCATCTTCCAAGTTTTAAAGCAATTCTCAAGGGTGAGCAGCAGTAGTAGAATATTATGCACCTATCAATGCCTTTCCTATTAAGATTAGCCCTCAAAACAAAGATTTTGAGAGATCAATAAAGTTAGAAAATCTCTTGGGGGCCATTCGGTCTGCTGAAAAAAGAATGCAAAGTAACATACAATGCAAAAGGAATACAACGTATTTGAAATGATTTGAATTGTTTGGATGAGTGTAAAATAAATGTAGGTGATTACTTTTTTATTTTATTTGACTTGAGGTAAAATGAATGCATTATAAAACTAAATGATGGTGGTGGCCAGCTGCAGAGGGTAGTTAGTGGCAAGTGGCAGCGGCAACGGTGATGGCAAGCAGTGGCCTGCAGCCGGTGTCGGCAATGGCGGTGGACGATAACGGCGGCAATGACAGTGAATTTATAATACATTTGGAAATCGACCAAACTTAACAATTTTCAAATACACTAAAATTGAACTGCATAACTGATGGGGACATCAGTAGGAGATTTTGGCACATTTATTAGAGAAGACAGCGGAGATTGACGGCCACGATCAGGAGCCTTTACTTTTGATTTATTTTATGTATTGTTTATTTTATATTTTAGTTTTTCCTATTTTACCCCTGTGGGTAGTTAGTTTGAGTTGTAGCCCTGAGGGCATCTTAGTCTTTTCTTTTCTTTTTTCTTTTGAAGCCTATATATAAAGTCCTTAGTCTTATATTAGGGTTTATGCTTAATTATGAAAATTCTGATTTTTTCTTGAACTTGTGAGTTCTTGAGTGGTGAAATCCCAAGGTGTGGGCAAAGAAACATCCACCAATCGGCGGAAGTGCCCCCGCCTCGTGGTTTAAGTTCTTCTCCTTACATTAAGCAGCCGGATCGTCTCCTTCCCCTTGCTTTAAGCCGCCGGCCACCTCCTCCCCTTGCTCCAACCGCCGAACCCCTCCAACCACCATCCTACCCGTCGGCCCCTTACCCTATCCCCATCCATAGCTGCCGATCCAGCCCCCTCAACTGTCGGCCAAGCCCATTTCCCAAACCCCACTGCCGGCCACCCCACCTCTTTTTCTCCTTAATGGTGATTTCAATCATCATTATTAGTTACCTAAATTATCCTAAATGATTTGGAAAAGAATCAATTAAATTTTGAAATTCAAATTTGAATTTCAAATACCTTCCTAAATTAACTAAATCTAAATTAGAAATGTTCCTAAATCTGAATCTAATTTAATTTTAAATTAGATTAGATGTTCCTCCCCTTGCTCCAACCGCCGAACCCCTCCAACCACCATCCTACCCGTCAGCCCATTACCCTATCCCCATCCATAGCTGCCGACCCAGCCCCCTCAACTGCCGGCCAAGCCCATTTCCCAAGCCCCACTGCCGGCAACCCCACCTCCTTTTCTCCTTAATGGTGATTTCAATCATCATTATTAGTTACCTAAATTATCCTAAATGATTTGGAAAATAATCAATTAAATTTTGAAATTCAAATTTGAATTTCAAATACCTTCCTAAATTAACTAAATCTAAATTAGAAATGTTCCTAAATCTGAATCTAATTTAATTTTAAATTAGATTGGATTAAATTATCCTTTCCCTAAATTAGACCCATGAATTAGGAAGCATTAAGTTCCCTCCCAATCCTCTCCTTTTCACCATGCATGTCACCGCCCCCCTCCTAGCCTCTCTCCTCTCTCCACCTCAATTTCCATCCACTTGAATTTGAACTTCAAATTTCAAATTCCAAATCTCCTTTTCTATTTTACTAAATCTGAAATTAATTTCAGATTTTTGTACCTTACCCTATTGGAAACCCTAACCCTAATTTCACAAAATAAGTCCCTTCCCCTCCTAGGCCTCCACCTCCCTCACTCTTCTTTCCTCTTGGATTTTATCCCCTCATGAATAGTATTCCAAGAGAAGGAGAAGACACACATCATCTCCCACTCCTCTTGCAAGTGGATGGCCGATCCTGAAGTAGATCACGGCTTCGCATACAATTCTCAAGGGCTGATAGATATTCTTCAATCGTCATTCTTCGACCCCGACTGGGAGATAGAAGACACCATCGACGATTACGTCGATCGTATCCTATTCCACTTAGATGAGACTATCGACGAACAACTACCCTCCGGACAGTGGCAAATCGTCAGACATCCACCCGCGTCTCCTCCTCCGTCTACCTTCCTATGGGTCAAGACCCTTGTTGTCCTATCACTTTTGGTGGCATCGCTAAGAATGGTGGCATCTTCTTTCCGCTAAATCCCTTCAAAGAGCGTGAGTGAGGGAAACTTGAGGTGACTATTCTAGATGTTATGTGATGGATTTAAAAGTTTACAACATTTAAGTTTATGTTTACGTTTGAAGTTATTTTAAGTTCTTGTTCTTCTATTGTGTAACCGATTATCATAACAATTTTGATATCCTTAAATTCTTAAATCCCATATGGTGAAACATTAGTTTATTGTTACTTATAGCATATTTTATTAATTTCTAAGCAATTCCTAGTTTGTTTTACATCATATTGGCATCAAAGCATGGTTGCATGCTATTTCATTTTAGGATCCCCTTCATACACATTCCCTAGACGTCTTAGCCTGCATTCACCTCCGCACAAAACATTTACATTATTGTTGTTTGTTGTCCCTACATCTCAACATCATTTAGTAAGCCTTAGGTGTTTTGGCATATAGGTATAGGTGTTGTTCTTTATTCCTTAGCATCCCTAGTTGTCACCTAGCTTACCTTAATGGACCCGGAACAGATTCATCACAGTTTAGACTTTATTGTAGGTCAGTTAGGTACCGTTACCCAACAACTACGAGATACACATGGTGATTTAGCTGACTTTAAGCGACAAGCTGGAGAACGACTTGACAACATCGAACGTTTAGGAAATCCCACAATTTATACCCCTTCTAGACTTGATTCTCTCTATGTCAAAGAGGCTCAAGTTAATGAAGGACCACCCTGAGATCCCTACTGTTATAACAACCTAAACTGAGTGACGATTGGCGTAAAACTTCCATCTTCCATACTTTCACCAAAATCGGTGACAAGAACTGTAAGGTTATCATCGATAGTGGAAGCTGCATTAACGCTATTCCGTCCACTATGATTTATAAGCTACACTTGAAAACAACTCTGCACTCGAACCCATATAAGGCCGCTTGGATCAACTCGACCGCCTTGGAAGTGAAAGAAAGGAGTCTTATTGATGTAGAACTATGAATGCTTTAAATGATAGATACAAGAATTTACATGCTTTCAAATAAGGGCAACAAGAATTAAATGTTAGCCACTTAACGAAAATGGAAAACAATAAATGAGTGCCTTAGTTTAGGCCAAGTCACACACTAATAGTTAAGATCACAAAATAATTATAAAATTCAACATAAGCAAATATAGGGGATTTCCAATAACATCCCTAGATTAACAAAGAGATTAGATGCATAGAAGTCCTATACTCATTCCCTACGTTTACTAAGCTTTGGCAGAGAACTTTGCACGATTCCTTATGCTTGATACACAACCACAATCGAAGGAGAATATGAAGGAAATTGAGGGGGAAAGAGTTCACCCTTGTCTTGGCAGGACGGTGATTTTCCACTGAATGGTGAAAAGTTGTTCTTCGATGGCTTCCGAAAGAGTGAATATAATACGCCCCAAGTATTCCTTGATGGAATTATCTACCTCCGGATTGATGTCGAAGAAAGGTGATTGGAGGATGTCGATGAAGCCTTGTTCATTGTAGACGAAGCCGGAGTCGAGTTCAGGATTTGCCATGCACAAGATACGTGGCATTGAAGTATTGTGGAAGATGCCCTTTGCTGTCCTTGAGGATTCCCCTTGAGAGAAAGAAGTTTCTCCAAGGAATCCAAGTGGAAGGAGGGATGGGAGGGTGGTCGGCCAAGGTAGGAGGCTTAGGAGAGTTTAGGTTCAGATTTTGGTGGAGTTAGGGTTAGGGGAGGGCTGGCTAGGTTAGAGAGGGAGATGGGGAAATATAGTTCAGATTTAAAAGGTGGAGGATGGAGGAAAATTAGGTAATCGTTTCCCTAATGGGGGTTTATGGAATGAGATTTAGTATTTGCTTAATTGGGAATCCCAAATTAAGGAGGATTTAATTCCAATCCAATTCAAAATTGATTTGGATTTGATTTGAAGAACTTTCCTAAAATAGAATTTTATTTTAGAAAATATTTAAAAATTGATTGAATAATTGAAATCAAGACTTTCCCAAAAGAGATTATGTATTGAAGGAAAGTAAAGATGAGGGGTTTTGAATTTTGGAGGCAAAGGGGGAGGGGGTAAACTGGAGGGTTGGCTAGGATTGGGGTGGGAACTTGGGTGGTTTGGAGATGAGGATGATTGGGTGCTAGCCGAATAGGGAGGGGGGGGGGGGGGGGGGGGGGGGGGGGGGTTGTGGTGTGAAGCTTGGCCGAGAGGTGGGATGTGGGCTTA